GTTTATATCGTATTTTCACCTGTTCTGTTTCTTGTTCCACCTTCTCCTATTGCCAGTGAGTTTCTGGCGGGGTTCCGACTTCCTGGTGAAGCTCAGAAAATCGATCGGTTGATGGAGAAGTTTGCCGCCCGGTACTGTGCCTGCAATCCGAATAATGGTCTCTTTGCTTCTGCGGATACGGCTTACGTGTTAGCCTTCTCTATCATCCTCTTGACGACCGATCTGCACAGCGCTCAGATCAAACAACATCATCGTATGTCTAAGGTAAGGGGCTTACCGATTGACGTGCCATCGAGTTATTTTTTCCAGAGGATACTGTGACAATAGTTACAATAGATGCAAGGAGTACCATGTATGAATCATAGGAAGAAAAAAATAGTGAAGCAATGAAAAAATGATAATGCCCAGTTGTTTTTTTAAAACAAATCTCTTGGACACTGCTTAATCTACTTGACTGAATTTCGTAATATATTTCACACCTTTTAATCAATCTGTGAATGATTTGCTCGTACGACATGGATGTCAGCCGATGCAGCGCAGTTCGAGCTAAATCCTCCTTCTCTCTTCAAGAATAAATACCAGTTGGCGTGTGACAATGACAATAGGTCTTCTGTGTGTTACCGAACCTTTTCTCTTGTGTCAGATACAGATACACGTAACCGGGCCAATCGAGGTTGTTTCCACCATGGACAAAATCCATGGAGCTCACTTATCCTCCAGCAATAAATAAGCAAATAGAAGTTCTAAAAAAATCAATAAGTACCTGAGCAGAGGTTATCACCCCACATGGAGCATTAAACAAGACACATTGTAGATTATGGAGTACCATATAAGGTTTATGTAAAAACGAGTCTTACAAATTATCGTTCAACTTGAGTGTATTGTATGATTGCCCCTCCTCCCCTCGTGTGAAAATACGACATTGAATGGACAGTGACACGAACACGAGAAGACTACTACACTGTTCCACTGGAATATGCCGTTCAGATTTAGAATAGGTTTGCATATGACACCCACACATTCGATTTCTCTAGAACAGTGTTGGGCAGGGAATACGTGCATCGAAAATAACGGTGTTTTCTGATTGCCTAAAAACGACGATTTGGTCAAACAAGTTTCGTCCCACAAATAATAATACTACCTAAATGGAACCATGCTTTCAGTTGTAGCGCTACAAACACAGCTGTCATACGGGTCCACGAAGTACACGTGAAACGGATATACAATGAGGGCAAAACGTTGTTTGCACGCTACTGCTGCTGCTCCATTTCTACCATACTTGACCACCACAGGAAGGCGTCAGACTCTCGATCTCTGTTGCTCATTTCAGCTCTAGAACTATGCTTGAGCAAAAAGGCGGACTGAAATGAAACACACCAATACCATAAAAAAAGTTCATTCAGTATAGTCACTTTCCGAATGGTTCTCATGGTCTGTAGGTTCAAAGCTCGATCCTCTGTATCCGAGGTGATGGGTCCTGTTGCGAAAGCATCGATTTACGCCCACGTTGATACCAAAACCCAAATAATTTGGATTGAGAATTCAACTGACTCAAATTTTTTGTCATGTCGGTAGTTGAGGCCATTTGCAAACGTCTTCACAATCCTTCTGTGATAAAAGCCTTGTGTCTAGCCACAGTGTTCCATCCCTTATTATATCGTTAAGGTGGTGGCGCAGTGGTTTATTTGCTGTCACCGCCGTGCTTTTGATCCTNCCCCGCCACTGCCACCCGACTTTGATGGTAGGCATCTCTGCTGTCGTCCGGTTCAATACCACGCGTAACCTGTCGGGGCCTTACGTGGTTCGCCACTCCAAGTCCCGGGGCTTAGGTTGCCGGTTTCCACCACTGACGAGCAGGTCCTCGTAACTATGGGGTTTACCTCGTCTGCTGTTCATCACACTTAGGTGTTTTAAAAAACCTTGAATACTGAAACGACAACCAAATAACTAACATAATCACAATGAAATTGTCATCCCGACTGAGAAACAATCCAGACACTAATGCGTATGCGATTATTCATCCGATAACTAGATTTTTGGGTCCTATTATCCCTTGGTTAAGTGATCTATATCTCACATTCAAATAAAAGGATCAAGAAAAACGAGGACTGAAGTTGTTGATAAGTCTTTGTTCATTGTGTTCTAGGATGATTATATTCGCATGAATCGAGGTATCAATGATAGCCAAGATTTACCGGAGTCCTATCTGGCCCAAATTTACGACGAGATTGCTCAATGCGGAATTAAGCTTCGCTCGGATGACGCCATTTCTAAACTCGCCGGATCTCGTCCCCCTGATTCGGGAGCTGATGAGACTGGACGAGCTTCAAATGCCGGTGGTAAAGATTCCGGCTTACATGGTCAGGATGACATTATTGGAGCGGTAAGAAATCTTTGTTTCTGTTTGATCATGTTATATGAATGCATCACTTTATTTTGTTTAATTCATACACTGTTATCGGATTCATTTAAGTCAACCTACCGCCACAGTGCTCTCAGTCTGGTAGATTTGTTTATCATTAAACGATGAATGTAGCCATTTAAAACCTAGTTGTAAAATTGTGGAATTCTCTGAATTTAAGTCAGCGATGAAATTGGCGGGATTCTCCAGTGCTGTTGTGTTCCATGCACTTCAACTCTTCAGGCCTAGTGTAGATCAGACAGAAAGGACAATCGGTCCCCGAGAGCGCCAGATGAGTAAGTCAGCCCTTGTGACGTCCCTTGAGCTCTAACTCGTTAACACTCCTTCAATTCACCCATCATTATTCTGGCATTCGCTCAAAATACCCTCCCCCGTCGAACAAATGGTCTTTAACCTAGTCATCGATTAAGTCCTCTATTCTGATCGATCCCCGTCTCCCATTAACGTACCTAGGAATAGTGGGGAAACCAGTGTTTGCGCTTCACTATGAGCTATCAATTAAACAGCCATCACGTTCCAGTTCCTCTTACTTCATTGGATTCGTGAGGCTGAGACACAGCCAAAGTCACCTCATGGGCAACCTACATACAAATGAGCACAAACGGAAGGTATCCATGGAGGGCTGCCAGCGGCAGGTCTGAAGATTTGAAGAGGCTCCTACAGAAGCATTAAGATATCATGTCTGATCTAGGGTTACGTCGACTCACTCTGTGGGTTAGGACTGAAATGCTCCATTTGAAGTTCTTGAGAAAATACTTGTCATGGTATGAGCTTTCGTCAAGCATGCAATTGTCTAACGTTGTCAGTTTCGATCCTAGGAATATTCTTCCTTGCATACCTCGCTTTTTTCAATTGCTTCAAAGCGTCACCTGTTAGCACGACTTATGGCACATGGTCTTGAGTAATGATGGTAGTAAGTAGTAATGCTTTCCAGTTTGTACAACCATTAACCATACGCTTTGGATGCGACAACAGTATTATCCATACCCGACTACAGGAGACGAGTTAAATACCTTAACTAAGCTATCTCCTTCACTTCAATACACTCAATGTACATGCCCTCTTTCAGCTAAAACTGCAAGTTGCTCCTTTGATTTATTCAGTTTTGTTCCCAGTTGGAATTCATTGCAGTGTTTGACTTGAGAGATTTTTGCTCTTCTTTCATGGAATTGTGATCTTTTCAGATTATCGAAGCCTTCTCATCTGTATATGCTTCGCAATTAAGCACTACTCTTAGTCTTATATCGGATTCCCCGTTCACTTATATCTAAATGAGTGTAGTAAAATACGAGGCATCCCAAGAAAAGCATCATCGGTGTTTTGTCTCACATCGATTGATATAACGGATGTCTTTACGGCATTGATAATTGGTCGATTGATACAGAGTTCAGGTCACACAAACCATGTGTTGGGCAAGCTTCTCTCTCCATGGGGATTCTGAATGCGGTTTCCAGTAATCTTCGAATTCGAACACTATATTTTTTGCTGCTTAGCATGACTTAGATTTTGATTTCTTCGCCTATCTGGTTGAACGATTCCCAGCTTCTTTGATTAATGCCGATACTGCGAATAAACCTGACGTTTTGAAGTATGAATTTTCAAACAAAGCCACTGACGGCTTTTTTTGTTAGCTCATTGAATTCGATCTAGTTCTCGACATTCCAAGTAGATTTAAAGTTGCCTATCATCACAGTACAGCCGTGAGAGGCAGCACAATTATTAACTTTTTACACGAGATATCTGTTTTTTTTTCTCAGATTGACTACTCCGACTCGGACTTCACAAGCGCCACTCATTGCGAGCATGTGAGACCAATGTTCAAGCTTGCCTGGACCCCGTTCTTGGCCGCGTTTAGTGTCGGTCTACAGGTCAGTTGTTTTATTAATGCAATTAGATCTGGTGTCCCCTGACACATTTCT